GTCAGACACACACATACTTTGAATTTTGCTGGGGTAAACCTTACATTATCTAATTTATTAAAAGTTCCTTGCTAATACTTATTTTATCCTGTTATAACTATTTCTTATGGCCTATCATTTTAAATGCCAATTTCTAAGCAGTGGATAACCCTCAGGTCAGGCTTTTATATATACGAAATTTGTGTTATTCAAGATAGCAAACACCGCGTCACGGAAATAAAATATGTCATTACTGCGAATCAATCAAAGTTTATTTTAGTCAGAGCTTCTTATTAAATTTTATATTTTCATTTTCAATTGTCGATGAGGAAGAGGAAATTGAATTTAAATTTAAAATAGTACTAAAATTGGCGGTTTTGCAAATATTTTTTCAAATAATCAGATGATTTATGATTTTCTCAGATCAGTTATGTTAGGATAATGCATAAATTTAAATCTCGACTAAGCTAAAATTCTGAAAAGATTTTCCAGTTTCATTCGATGGTCTGGCAAACAGTACAAATTTTTCGCAGTTTACAACAAAAATGAATGCGAAGGATTAAGTACACGCCACATATCTAGTGAACCGATTTTAACTTCAGAATTATAGTGAATCAGTGGCTAATCTATAAATATACAAGCGAAATCCCGTGCAGACAATCACATTTGAAATAAATAATAATTTTTATATTTGTAGGAGAATCACTTGATAAACCACATAAAAAAACATAAAACTCGCTGAATTTTTCATGCATGCGTTTCAGCTGCATTCAAATTATTCAATGATTAATTATTCCTCACTCCAGCTGATAATTTCATCCTCTTATTTTCATTGCTCGTACCACGTTAATTTAACGCATTCCCTTTGATTAATATGCTTAAATATTTACATAATGTTAGTATTATTGTTGTTAGCTTGTCGAATATCGGACGATTATTGCCGAGGACTTTGATCGTTTGAGTCCTTGTTGGCGTGCCGGGACTTGAGTCTTTTTTGGCGTGCTGCATGGGACTTGAGTGCCTGTCAGCGTGCCGGGACTTGTGTCCTTGAATTGCCGGGCCGGGTCTTGAGTCCTTGTTGGCGTGCCGGGATCTTTTTTGAGTGAAAATTAGGCTTGTCAGGAATTTCCTTATTTTGGTTACATGACTTACATCAATAAACATCCATTTATGGATTGATATCTCAACCAGAATTTCAACTTAATATCACAGCCAGAACCACCACCTAGGAGCACAACCGGTACCTCAACAAATATCAAAACCAAAACCTGTGACTTAAATTAAAGTTCAATTTGAACTTTAGTTGACAGCTCAAAAATTTAAGTTATAGAATTATTCATGAGTAAAGCTTCTATATTTCTGCCGACAAATCGGTTCGTGTACTTCAAATTAATTTGACTTTGAAATTGAACTAGATTGCAAGCAATATCCCTGTTTGTCGGCATAGATTTTTGAGAGATCACTTCACAATACTGCAAAAAAAAAAATTCATTTCGGGTGAAGTGTTTGCTTTCCTCCATCTTCTTCTAAGATCAACTTTTTCTGGATTTTTTTTGCGGCCTATGATCTTGCCGATGCTTCTGACTGACGCTCCCGACCGATGCTCCCGACCGATGCTCCCGACCGATGATTCCGACCGATGCCTCCGAACGATGCAGCCGACCGATGCTCCTGATTGATGCTCCGACCGATACTTCCGACCTATGCTTCGGACCAATGCTCCCGACCGATGCTTCGTACTAATGCTCCCGACCGATTCTCCCGACCAATGCTCCCGACCGATGCTTCGTACCAATGCTCCCGACCGATTCTCCCGACCGATGCTCCCGACCGATGCTCCCGACAGATTCTCCCGACCGATGCTTACGACTGATGCTCCCGACCGGTGCATCCGGCCAATTCTTCCGAGCGATGCTCACGACCGATGCTTCAGTTCGAAGCTCCCGGAAATTTCCGGCAAAGAAGAAAATCTTGCCGTCCGATCGGATTACAGGGGCGGATATTGAGCGATACTCAGACGACGGTTTCCTTGGAGTCGGCAACGTTCACGTTACCAGGTAAGTACCAAATGGCTATTCAGCGGATGAATTTAAATAAAAATTTGAGCTTAAAGGCTGAGAGTTGTTATATGATTATGACATTCGAAAATTATTATAAAATTGAAGTATGATTACGATATTAAAGTATATTAGAGTAGGATTCGATATTAATGTGATTCATTTCGTAGATAACCAAGCTTCTTTTCTATGTGAATTTACTTCCAAGATTTATACTAAAGATCTAAAAAACATATGTGCTCAGTCATTGATCCAACAAAGTCGGACAGAAAAATTATAAATATTGAACATTCTAAATGGCAACAGCTGATTTTTCAACGGCCGAAACTGATGAAAACCTTATTAGACGTGAAAATGAGATTATTTTGCTTTACTTACTCACGCCATTTTTTTTCATTTAATCCAGTTAGTTGTACTACAACAATTTTATTCACACATGCCATTTTGTTATTTTAGGATGCCAGTAATAAAAGTATTTAATCGCACACGCGTTCATTTCAAGTACATTAACAATAATTTTAATATTATGGATAGCGTTTGAAACAACAAACAGGAAGATTTTTCTGTAATCCTAATTTTCCTAGATATTTTTATTCCGACCATCATTCGCCCGTTCTCTCAGTAGCGAAGTTTACCTGGCAGTTCATTCTTAAGCAATATTTCGCATGTGCCTTGGCAGTGAAGTATTGCAGGAAGTTGAACATTCATAATCATTGTGAACTGAATTACCCCTGGCATATCTTGTAGCAAAATGTATGTTACAAATTTTAGGGTTTTGATAAAATTGTGTAATGTCTGTTTTCATAAACTTTTTTCCGACGACCTCCATTGAAACCTTTGGAAAATCAGTGTTGAAAATTTGGACTGGGGCTTAACAGTTCAGTTTCATCGCACCTATATATCCAGTAGAAATTGTTAATCTTTTCTTACGTATATTATCAAAGTTACTAGCAAGAAATCTACCGTGCTTTACTCTTACTTTAATTGAGTCTTTGCTTATCTTTATTTAACCAACAGCATTCATGGTGTTAATCGGACTTAACCACACCTCAAAGCGTTAATTTTGACACGAACTTAGCGTCTGTGAATATTTCACAGGCAGACAGATCTCGCCCCAGGGCCCTCAGCCAGCCAACGTTCAGCCCCCGGCAACTCGTCTGTCGCGGAGTTCCAGCGAAAGAGATTCCGGCCGCAGAAGTTTGGCTTCTGCTGCCGTGGGTCACTTGAGGATGGCTGAGCAAGAACTGAACGGTAAGTGTATTAATGTACATGAACTCATAACGAGTATGGCACTCATAAATGTGCTCGCTCGCAGAAGTCAGAATGAGCAAAAGAAAGCTTACTACTGTCCCATGAAAGTTACTACCGGTGAAGTGGTAGCCGGGCGCTAAAGGGCTAAGTTGCTAACTAAGTCACCTATGGATACACTGTGGAGCGCACGCATGCCCCAGGCGAAATGAATGCATATAAAGCGTATTCCAGAAGAAAGAATTACACAATTACATTGTGATAAAACTAATTTTTCTTCCGTAGAATATTCGTCATATAATAATTTTTGAAACTCCTGCTAACTTTATTGTAATGACAGCGCTTAATTTAAAAGGTTAATAATCTAAGCCACTGATTAATGATCGGCAAGTCTGAATGATGTGCGAATTGTTAAAAATATATTAATGGTTTAGTGCAAACTGGAATTTTAAGTGCAAAAAATTGGTTGTTGAATTCATTGATAATAAGAGACTTTTATACTGACATGCAGTCTCCCTTGAATGACGATTGAATGTAAAACCGAAAAAAAATTCAATGTACAAAATCTGTTGCATAGGTCACTTTTCACTAAACAGAATTTGGTCGTTCATGAATAGGAAAAACTAACGAAATCATCGAGGAGTTAACTGAAGCTGGGGGTGATAATGAATGCAATTATATTCCCCATCAGCTCCCATTGTACTTATTGTCAAAGCAGCTTTATTTTCATGTGAGACAGTAATTAATTATAAGGTCATTTAATTACTGTGTGAACAATAAGAAAGGTGACATATTTCGTAATGTCACACTAGGTTTAAACTTGAGCGAAAACAGCTATTTTATCTTTGATACAGTTTTTATTTTTATGATACCAACAATTTGCAATTTGGGAGAAAATTATAGAAAATATAATTGAAAAACTAATAACCCAGAATATTTATTCCTTAAATATTTTCGCAAAAATTATTTTTAACAGAAATCCTTGCTAAATTTAAATATAAATGTGCTTTATTATCTCAATTTTTTTGTATTTACAAATGGTAAATTTTCCCATCCGATTTATTGTGATGTAAATTTTGGATAAAATTTGAAGCACTCTATACATATTGAGTACTTTCATGCTTAATGAATTGGATCATGCAAAAATGATGCTCATGCAAAATACCTTAGTATTTACCGATATACAGTATTACTATGCCCCAGTTTCGGATTGTATCAGTGTGCCGATATAACAGTGTGGTCACTTGCATATCAGTGTCCGCATGTATAAATGTGTGCACCCGTGTATTAATACGTGAGTTCTTCACAGTCCAAGCGTCTCGGTGAGCAGCGATGTCACAGCGTCCTCGTATCCTCTGCTTGCATATCAGTGTCCGCATGTGTAAATGTGTGCACCCGTGTATTAATACGTGAGTTCTTCACAGTCCAAGCGTCACGGTGAGCAGCGATGTCACCGCGTCCTCGTATCCTCTGCTCCCACGGCCTCGGACGCGGTGCGTGCGCCGGCAGGCGGCTCCGCGCGCTGCCGCTGAATCGCACCTCAATTCCGCACGCACCTTTGCCGCAACCAGTAGCGTCGCTCGCACCATTTCCTTAATAAATATAAGGTTATTCCATATCTTTTTACTGTACGTTGTTCTACTGACTTGCGGAAATATTGCATTGAAAAACTAACAAGTGATCACAAAATTGGGAAGTGAAATTATCAATTAAATGATCGTCACGAGTATTTGGCAATGGGCAATTACATGAGGCTTTTCAGTTTTTCTTGCATGGCACTGGCGATTTTTGAACAGTGCGCTGCGGGCATCGGTGATGTGCACACGTCAGCTTCGTCAGTCGTGCGACTGGCGGAAGTGGAAGACGAGGTCGTTGCTGTCCTTCGTGAGCACCTGCAGCAGCAAGACCGCAGGCTCGACACTGTCAGGAGGTAACGTGCTTGAATTTTGCAGAAAGCGCCTATATATATGTCATTTTAGTATTTTTTTTACTGAAAGTTCACTTACTTTTCAATTCAATGTAGTTGTGAATTTGAGCCATGAAGATAATCCTGAGAAGCGGCGTGCCGGGACTTGAGTCTTTTTTGGCGTGCTGCATGGGACTTGAGTGCCTGTCAGCGTGCCGGGACTTGTGTCCTTGAATTGCCGGGCCGGGTATATGTCATTTTAGTATTTTTTTTACTGAAAGTTCACTTACTTTTCAATTCAATGTAGTTGTGAATTTGAGCCATGAAGATAATCCTGAGAAGCGTCGCATCTTTGAGTTATTTCACTTCCACATAATTTTTATTATGTATATTGTATTTTCCCGTGCTCAACGTGGCACTCCGACACGTTTGTTAGGAAATCAACATAAGAATTTTACGTTATTTTTCGTCTGCGAGATGAGCATTTCTTGAAGTAACTGCTACATGCGCAGTTCTTTAAGTGTGTTATGGCTAAGCTATATGTTGGTAGTTATTGATATTATTGTTATTAGTCGTAATTTACTGTTAATCAAGCAATGCTTCTCGTTATTTATTATTAGATTATATTGTTTTTTACAGTATAGGGTAAATTTGCATGTTTTTTAAAATTGTTTTATAGTATTTGGTATTGTGGGGTTTTTTAATTTGTTTAAGATCATTAAAACGGTTTTTTATTACTATCCTTACATCAAGGCACACATCAGCCTTCTTATTCACCTCAGATATGTTGATGGATGGAGTAAAGACAGCAGCAGTCAGCTGAGTAATCCTGTCGCGAGTTACCATCTGTTGCGACGCCTCACTCTCGACTACAGCGACGTGCTGGATGCTATCGACTCAGTCGACCAAATCAGAGGTATTTACTTTCATCTAGCATCTCGGTAATATAACTTATATTTTTTATAAATAAATTAAGTTGCAAGTAATATCTCGTTCAACGATAATTTGTTAACTTATCTACTTAGTCAACAGTAAATCCTAACGAATAATTCAGCAAATTACTAACGCAACATCTACCGGCCGTTGGTTTGGTCACGATGATGCAGATGTACGACGTCGCCTGGCGTCAGTGAAGGAGGGCTTGACGCTCCCCAAGGAAGACGACCTGAATGGGGCGGCGCTGGCACTAGTGCGTCTCCAGGACACCTATGACCTGCCCTTCGAGGAACTCCTCCAGGGGAGGATCTTGGATGCTCCTCAAGCCTCTCATCTAACTGGTAAAATCCTGATCCATTTTCCTGGGTTATAATGTAAGGTTTTATTTATATCAACTGTGAACACATTTATGCGCCTCAGTTATATCCATGATAAACTTTCTGTTATGTTTTATCTAAACTTTTGAGGTCAACAAGGAACAAATCACTTTAAATTAATTCTTTCTGATGAAACCGATGCTCACATTAAAAATACGACGCATAACTTGTACTGCCCAAAAAGCCTTGCATTCAATTATTAATGGTGCCGGAAAAATTCATAGCATTCAAATATTCGAGATTCACTGATAATTTGACACCAAATTGACAGCTGAGGATTGCTTGCGCTTCGGGCAGCAAAGTTTCGTCAACTTGGAATTCGACCTGAGCGAGCGCTGGACGCAGCGCGGCCTGACTCTGCTGCGTGAGAAGCGCGTGCTCTCTGCCGCGGAGAACCGCAAGCTCCACGAGACTGTCCAGGCTATGAACAAGCGCAGAAAAATGGTCTGTCTTAATTAAGTGCTTCATTTTCTTAAACGGGATAAAATTTATTATTTTTATTTTGTAAACAGTTAAAACAAATGAAGGGCAAGAAGAGATTTGCTCTGACAACGGTGGTGATCGGTTGGTAATGGAAAGCNCGCGGTATTTAAAGCAGAAGCATTATTTAGAATAAAGAAGTACTGCATGTTCATTTAACTGAATTCAAATAAAAAGAGTATCAAGAATTTCATGATTTTCCAGACAGTAAAATGAGAAAAACAATAATATTATTTCCTTTCTTGATTCTTCCTTGCTTCATTTGTAGCGCGGGATTACTTGTTTTACACCCCAAAACTTGGCTAATTTGTTCTAATACTGTTCCAAAATTTCTTAAACTTAATTCGCTTCATAAACTCGTTTAATGCCGTGAAAAACTAATATGATATTTCAACAGATCAAGCAGTAATTTCCTGGAGCAAGAAACACCCTACATTTCATAAACAATCGGCAAATTAGCCGTCGAGTGAGCAGATGACGTTGTATATGAAACTACCAATATTTTCAATTTCAGAGGCAGATGGTAGAAACACTGGCCAAGGAAGCTTCGGAGCAGGTGCTTGATGAATTCTCCGGGATGGGCATTCCAGGGAGTTTCCAGAAGACGATTTATTCGATGCGCGACGGCAGCGAACATGTCGACCAGCTCACAGACAACTACCACCGCCTCTGTCGGGGAGAGATGCTCCAGGTGAACAATTAGTGAACAATTCTAATATCCGTTGCACATCCAATTAAAATATTTCAGGTAATATGGGTGCAGAAAATCAGGAAATTTTGGAAGCTTAGTATTTTTACTGCATGATTCGATATCAATAATTGTGATATTGAAGTTTAGCTTGTCCCTAAATTCAATTCGAGTACTGAGCTGGATGCACCGCAGGCACAAGGCTCAACGCAGCGAGCTATTGCTTTTGTTAACGTAATTTCCAATGTATTAATATCTTCAAATTGATAAATGTATCCCAAGTAAAAATAACGTAGAATGAGGTTAATATAACTAATAAATTAATAAGGATTTAAATTCTTGTACCTACAAGATTTCACCGATATTCGAGGTTCTCATTGGTAAAAAGTTAGTCCGCAATTCTCAATTCACGGACCAATTTAAATTAACTTTGACTTAACTGAATAACGTCGGCAGTCGTCAGAGGTGCTGTCCTCCCAGCACTGCGGCTACGTCCACGAGGCCGTGCCCTACGGTGCCTTGCTGCGCTTCAAAGCGGAACTCGTGTGGCCGGACCCGGCCATCCTCCTCTTCAGGGACGTCGTCAGCGACGCAGAAATCGCTGAAATTAAACGCTTAGCGGAGCCTGAACTCCAGACCACAGAAGTCCATTCTTTCGTTACACACAAGAAAATGAAGTCTCTCGCTAGGATCGGAAAAACGTGAGTCAGTTAGGAAACAACTTCAAGTATAGGAATTTTCTTCGAGTGCACCCTACAGAAACTATAAATATGCTGCACAGGCCACGCATGAAGGAATGTGTATCTTGATGTTAATCTATTATGAAAATAATAGCAAGAAATGATAAAGTTTATCAGAATATTCTTGGGGCATATATCTGATCTGGAATTTTGTTCAATTTGAATTTTGCAATATTTGTACCGGCAGCGCGTGGGTGAGCTCTGGACGCAGCAGGACAGTGGACGCCGTGGTGCGCCGTGTCGCGAGCATGACGGGCTTGTCCACGACCAAGGCCGAGGACTTGCACGTCCTCAACTACGGCGTGGGAGGCCACTACGACGTCCACGTCGACTTTTTCGACCTCAATAACGTGAGGGGAACACTAGAACTTGCGATAACATTTTGGATGTCATTCAGCTGTGAGATCTCGTTGTACTGCTGTAACTTTACGAAGTTTTGACAAGTCGATAAATGATTATTGAATTGACTAACACCAATCAAAATACCAATTTTTCGTTGTGCCTGTCAACAAAAAAGGTATTTCAAACCGTCTAATGAAATAATGACTGATTAAATGCGTGTATTGTGCCGTCCGATCATCCGACGTGTGCCGTCCGACCATCCGACGTGTGCCGTCCGACCATCCGACGTGTGCCGTCCGACTATCCGACGTGCGCCGTCCGACCATCCGACGTGTGCCGTCCGACCATCCGAAGTCTTCTAGTAGCGTGGGACCCGCCCTGGGACTGGCGTGCGCCCTTGATAGTGAAGGTGAGCCATATGAGTTGTCACAGTTCTGGGCTCATGATCGGGGCGTACGTGCTGCTGTCCTGAGTAATCCTAAAAGAACCTTACATCCGCTATAACTGATAACTATAACTGATAACTATAACTGATAACTATAACTGATAACTATAACTTATAACTATAACGATAACTGATAACTATAACGATAACTGTATCTAACTTATAACTGAAATTAAATTCCTCTTGTGCACCCACAGCTTCACGATCGTCAGTGGCTGGGAGCGTACGTTGTGAGAAGTTCCTACCAACCGGAGCCTGAGCTATAGGTTTCGCCTACTTTGTGCCAGTTACCTATTTCAATAAATATATTGAACTTGTGACATAGTCATCATATATATTTTGTTTCCATTCCTTCGTGGCTGGAGAAGTGGCTAGTAGCGCTGATGCAGCCATGGTGAGAGCATCTGTGCCGCTCCTGTGAAGTATCTTGGGTCACGTGAATCATGGCTTGTTTGAACGATAATGTTTCTAAGAGGAATCCAACAAAGTGTATTCCAGACGATATTAAATTATTCTTTGAAATATTCCAAAAATATGAATTAAAGTATGATGTTTTCCATGATGGTTACTCCAACAAAATGAAGAGAGAAACGAGTATTTTTAAACGGAAAGAAGACCTTATTAGTTGTTCCCGACGCTGTATATTTAAGGGCTAGAATATAGAGTATAAAAAGACGTACAAACTCGAGTTGTTGAAGGTGATCACACTATCCATCTTCACAGACCTCATTCGACGGCTTCTAACGACGCACTGGCGGGCGCGAACGAGAAGTTAGCGTCACCTTTTACTCTCCACGTGTACAGGCTTACTTGCCGGATAGTCACCAAGCGACCGTCACTAGCCAGATTTACTAGCCGTCAGCACTATCCCCATGTACAAGCACCTTTATTCTTCTACGCCGGATATACTACACAGTCTATCCTAGTCTCATCGCCATTGGAGTAAAATTTATTCAGATGAGTAATTTACCACGGTCACGAACCCAGAACCGAAGACGTTGGTACCAAACACATTTTGGACCACTTGAAAGCTGAAGGCGAATAAGACGCTGAGAATTTGCGAAAATACGATAGTGCAACCCCAAGTTGCGTCCAAGGCTCCAGTGGCTGAAGCCTGAAGGCGTCACTTGCGTAGCAATAACTGCAACCGTAACATCTGCCCAATGAAATTGCGGAATTCATCCCACCGCGGCAGTTCATGAATCATTCGTTCGCCACTTCAGCAACTTCAGCTTTGAACTATTACCCCTCCTTGTGTCCAAATGACAAGATTAGTGCTAGGTAAGGGTTACTAACCGGTAGACTAATCAGATGCACTATTTAATGATCATAAGACACAATTATTTTGCCTAATAGCCTTATTTATTACAGATTGGCTTGCCAGACGGGGGAGCCTTTTGAGCCGTGAGGTGTATGGAGGACGACTCCACTTCCTCAAGAAGCAGACAAAACAACAACAACAACTATTACCCCCACTGTTTCTGCAGGTGTATACATCCCCCTGCTTTCAGCTGCAACTGGTTGGCTGTTGTCACCAAGCCATTCAGTGATGGGCGCAGAATTGTTTGCCATATACAAGGCACTGCAGATGACACTCAGACCTCAGTCTAGTTGAGCTACAAAACCGACAGGTAGTGATCTTCACTGACTCAAAGTCATCCCTGCGGCTGCACCTGATCCTTAATACCCGCCGCCGCCATCCTACCTATGCTGCAATAGTATATATTATTCACGCCCTTCTTCTTCAGAGGGGGCTAAACTCGGTTGCTTTCTGCTGGGTGAAGGGTCATAGTGGAGTTTTTGGAAATGAGGTGGCTGATCGGATTGCTAGGTAGCCTGGCGCACAGCAGTGACAGGCATAGTGACAAACCAGAGATTTTTTAAAATCAGTTCATTTCTAATTTCCTTATTTATTCAAGACTTAAACCAATTTCTTATGTAAGATAATGCTGGTATCCATGATACTTTACTGGTCTACTTATAGGACTCAAAAATGAACTCAAGGGAGAGTCTAAAAAACTCTCTGCCTTGCCACTATGGTGACAGGTCCTCTTGTTCAATACTTTCTTTTGATGAGTCATATGGGCAGCTAGCTCAGGCCTTTAACAGCCACTGGCGTGCATACTGGCAGACATAGTGGCAAACCAGAGACTTTTTAGAATCAGTTAATTTTTAATTTCCTCATTTACCTACTCAATATTTAAACCAATTTCTTATGTATGATAATGCAAATGCTGGTATCCATGATACTGGTCTACTTATAATGCTCAAAATTGAACTTGAGGGAAAGTCTAAAAAACTCTCTGCTTTGCCACTATGCTGGCAGACTCAGGTTGCTGCTACTGGTTGTGGGCTGTGGCCAATTCAGATACAACCTTGATGGATGCATCACTTATATAGATTATAGCTCTCTGAGACTCTGACTAGATCTCTGCAGTGTGCGGTGGCCCGCCTTCGTCTGGGCCATGCAGGCGTGGGTGCCCACCGTGCCCGGTTTGGAATGGCAGCTATGGGGGTCTGTCCAGAATGTCGAGTAGATGACACCATAGCTCACTTCTAGTATGGAATATATCTACTTGGCGAGCCGCGACTGAATTTTTCGAGCCGTGGTTTTATGGATTTGCCAGCCGTGATTCCATTTCTACGAGCCGTGATTCTATTTCTCAGCAATATTTGCTGGAAAGTGGAGCTGCCTCTCTGATGTAGCTCCAAACTGGGGGTGCTTTCTCCTTCAAATCAAAGAACTTAAAAAAATGTGTATATATAAATTTTTTTCTTGTTTTTCTTTCTTTTCTTCTTCTTCTTTCTTGTTCTGTTTTGTTTAATTTTTTGGCATACTTGTGCAATTTAGCATGCTGTTAGGGTGCTTTATTACAGCATAAAGCTTGACGCACTGTGCATGTTATTATAAGGCATGCTGCATATATCACTTGCATATTGAAAACCTTGCTACATGACCAATTCAATTGTCTGGATGTTGGGTGCATGCTGCATATAAGGTACTTGGGCCATTGAGCCCCTTTGCACGGTGCATAGTCTTTCATCAAAAGAGTGACAGAGACCAGGCTGGGCAGTGCACAAGCACTGGAAGCCTCCAAAACCAACTATAAAAAAAAATATATTACCCCCACGGCCCCACGTGACACGTCTTATATATATAATTATATATGATTATTATTATACTATATATATTATCAGACATCAGTTATTACTCCATTATATTCCACCTTCACCTTGTGACCGTTGTGCACTGGAAAGTATTTTTTCATTTCTAGAAATAGTCCCTCTGCACTCTGCAGGCTCTGCTACGTGAACTATAGCCTAAGCCCAACTCCCAAGGGCTAAGGCTAAAGACTGCTGACTCTGTGAGCCGGACTGAGCGGCCTGAGCCCATCATCATCATAACATAACCATATACCGGCATTGGGCAGTGTGCCTGTGATAAAGCAGAGAACTTTTCAGACTCTTTCTCAAGTTCATTTATGAGTCCTATAATTAAATAAACTAGGTAAAGATGATCATTTGCCAGTAAAGGATTTTGGATACCAGCATTATCTGATTATTATACATTAGAATTTAGAAATTGTTCACATTATTGAGTAGATGATGAAATTAAAAATGAATTGATTCTAAAAACCTCTCGTTTGCCACTAATCACCTATCACCCTATCCATTGGATTGGGACTTGGCAGTAAGATCACTAAGATGTAGGTAAGCACTATTCACTAAGCATGTTAAATAATGTTATAATGTAACACTCTTACAAGTTACCAATGTTACAATATTTATAGCAACTGAGAAAATGGTAGAAAGTTTTATTAAAATAAATTATTCTTAGCAATCTTAGGATGGTTGATTGAATTTACTTTTAAGATTAATAATTATAAGTATTTTTGTTCTGTTCAAGTGTTTCAAGTAATTGTAAAAAGAAAAATTATGCATTAAATGATTAAGGTAGGGTAAACGCGGTATATTCCGTCATCGTGGGTAATTCCGTCACCTCTCTAGTTTTTCCTTTATATTAAGCTTTGTTTTAGTTCCATGCGTTTGTTGATGGTTGAAATGGTGACGTCATACATTTGCGTGTCGAAATACTGCAAAAACACTAGGTCTTGGCCATCTAGTGGGAAAATATTAAGATCCAAAGAGAGACAATGCATGCCACGTGGTGAGATCGAAAAATGTGTCAAATTTGACAGTTGACATGGCTCTACCAAATAGTGAATAACTGTTTTTATAGGAAGAATATTATGGTTTGAGACTTTTAAATACGTCTGTGAATATATTAGGAATCCTTTAAGTATACTTTAAATATGGCAACATTTTGTGACGTTTCATCGTTGCTGACGCGTAGTGAAGTGTTTTGAGAGTCATGTGAAGGCAACAGAACTTATGTAATGCATAAGGTTTTTTTTTATAGTTTTTCATTTCTCGATGCGTCCTTAAAGTGTCGGAATATACCGCGTTTACCCTAATAATCAAAACTCAAAATAGCATTATTTTGGCTGTGCACTGTGTGGTGACTGAATGGGCAGGGATGCAGGATTGTAATATACCTATCTACCTTTTGAGCTGTAACCAGAGCTTTCCCACACCCACAGGCCACAGCCACAACTCACAAGAATCCTGCTAGTAGTAGTAGATGAATTGCCTCCTATCTTATTGTTAACAAAAATGTTTTATTTGGCTACAAGATTCTAAACTTTATTGAAAATTTGTCTCTTTGGAACCTTGACCTTGAGATTCCAGTAATTCAACTAAAAAATTCCAATCCTGTAGACCTGGCCTGTAATCTTGTCATGTAGCCACTAGCCAGTAGGTAACAATTTACTGGCTTTTGACTTTCTATGTTACCTTATGTCTCTTTTTATCACAAGGAGCAGAATTCTGTTCAACATTGAACATTCTATATTAAATAGAATGAAAATTTTTACCAAATCACAATTTAATTTGCTTTTCAGAGTTTAAATATCCCATACTATTGAGTTGACCTAGATCTTGCTTATTATTGATAAGCCACAATGTCTCAGTTGATATCAGAATTAGGCTCAAATGATGATACTGATATCAACACAGAAGAACTGCCTCTACAATATTCAAAATCTGTTATTGCTGCCATACAAGAGGTAATAATAATTATATTAATTATTGATATCTGTAAATTTTTAGTAGAATGTAAGCAGCATTTTTAATGAAATGTGTGATGAAGTTGAATGCTTGTGATATTAATCAACTGTATAGTTAGCACCCAGCAGTCTTGTTAATGAGAATATTATGAGATGGATCTCATTGTGCTTTCCTGTTAACTGAATTGAAGTTGATGCTTTGTAGCATATGTATTCTTGTATAAAATTTCATACTATCCCTTTTCCAAACTCTGTACGGTACCTACCTAGATATCATATGTACGGTACCGTACTATATAAGATTTAAGGCATTTTGTGGATAATTATACTATCACTTTACTTTAGTTATTCCTTCATCCCTGCTACAGACATGTGTAATACCTATAATAGAAAATTACCCCTTTTTTTTTTGTAGGTACATACTCCTTCCACATTAGATTTCATTTTATAAAAAAAATTCTCTACTCCTCTATTGATCAAACTTTTCTGTATTTTCATGTGTACTCCTCAGAACAAATATCATTCATCTTATGTCATTTATTTTTGAAATTATTCACATTACAGAATAAATCAGGCAAAAAATCTTTCAAACAACACAGCCCAAAACTCAAACACACCTAAAATGTTAACAGCGCAGCCCAAGATTACTAATTTGTGTTCTGAATGTGTCCACTGAAAGAAACATATCAATCTTCTTGATTAAAATATAAATTATTGCTTTTAAAGTTTACAAATTTTGTATGCAACTCTTCTGAAGTTCTTCATTGGATCATAATTATTTGTAGTAAAAATATTTTCTAAACAAATTAATCATTGATTATATTAACAACTAAAGAGAAATTATTTATTTTGTTGTTTATTGTGGTTAATTTTTTCAGATAGTACCTGGAGAAGATCCTTTTGACTCCCCTGACTTCAATGCAGTGGACTACATCAATGAGAGGTTTCCTGCCGAGCAGTCCCTGCATCTGCTGGATGAGGTCCTCGAGGAGATGAGGGTGAAGCTCTCCTTGGTTGAGAATGAAACCCAGCAGCTGGTCAGGCAGCTGGCTATCAACTCACAAGTAAGGAGCCTCAAACTGAAGCCTTAAATGTAATCCCCTTTACTTTAGTCTGAGACATAAGCGCTGTATTTAATTAATTCTTGAACTTGAGTCCTTCACTTGGGCCTTGAACTTGAGCCCTATGCTTAGACCTTAACCTTGAGCTCTTCATTTAGGCCTCAAACTTCAACTTTACACTTATATTGTAAGCTTAGGCCTTGAACTTATGCCTTTTACTTAATTTTCAAACTTGAGACTCACACTAAAACCTTCAGCTAGGAACTATAGCTTGAACTAGGAGGTAGACCATAATCAATTTGAGCACTAGATGATATGAGTTTAGCCAAGTTTAGACTCCAGACAACCTCAATCATATAAATCCTCTTAACATTTGTGTAGGTCTGTCAATCATTTTATTCTGTAATTTACAAACAGAATTATTAAGATGTTTTTAATATTACACTTAAGATTTGTTTCAGATTGGGCAAGATTCACTACAGAGTGCAGAAGAGTCCATTCGGCAACTTTCAGCCAGGTTTCAAGAAATTAAGGTGTGTAACTATCTATGAAAAATAATTACTTCCACACCGAGTCCAGTTGGCACCTTAAATAAAATCTTTTTAAATAGCTTTCAAAGCAATTGATGTTAAAAACTGCAGCCTTTTTTTTTCTCAGAAATGCATTTGAAATGGCGATGGCAGTCAATTATTTATGTATTACACTGTTATTGAATCATTTATGGAAGCAACCTGATGTTATTGAAACATTTCACAATAAATTCTACCATTACTTTTTTTAGCACAATCAGCTAATTCCAGTTGAGTAACCTGTATATAATTGCAAATTAGTATTGAGTGTATAGGGTGTGTCTTGCATGTCTCAGGTGACCTCTGGATAGTTGCAAATTAGTATTGAGTTTATAGGGGGTAACTTGCCTGTCTCAGGTGACCTCTGGATAGATGCAAATTACTATAGAGTGGATAGGCTGTGACTTACGTGTCTCTGGTGACAACTTACAAGTTAGCATTGCTTGTACAAAAGTGACTTCCTTGTTTCAGGTGACATCTGGAGAGTCTGAACAGCGAGTGCGAGCCATAACCCGCGACATCCGCCAGCTGGATACTGGCAAGCGAAACCTCACGACCTCTATCAATACTCTCAACCACCTGCAGATGCTTACCGAGGGCGTCGACAAAATAAGGTTTTTGATTTAAAATTTTGTGTTTATAACCAAGGTTAAAGTTGCACTAATTTGGATAATACAACTTTTGTATTTTGTGCTAATAAATAAAAAAGATATCATTGTTAGTTGTAACTTTTTATGATTTTATCCTCTTCATGAATACATTGGGCCTTGCATTTAACCAATAATGAAACAAACCCCTTGTGTTCACACAGATATTTTAGGAACAAAAATTGAAAAGTAAATTGTGATTTATATGCTTTTTATTGTAATTTGTGCCAAGTATTGCTTCTGAGCAAAAAATGCCACATAAGTAACAATAGGAAGTAATCATTGACACGCATAAAAATGGCCCAATTTACAGTTAACGTGTAATGATCAGCACTGTTCTCCTCAGGAGCATGATGGCAGCACGGCAGTATGGTGAGCTGGCACCGCTGCTGCAGGGCGTGCTGAACGTGATGCAGCATCTGTCACGCTACACCCACATCCCGCAGGTCAAACAGCTCTCTGATCAGGTGAGAATTTAATTATATATGTTCCTTTTAAGATTGTTATTTTAATAATAATATTGTTATTTTAATAATAATATTATTATTTTAATAATAATATTAGTAATAATATTATATTTCTATGTCAAAACTTCAATGCTGTTTCGTCATTAGCGCTGCAGCTCTCAGATTGGATGAGACTATCTCTTACTTTGCTGAATTATTCACGTTTCTTTTCATATTATTAAAATATTTTCTGGTCGGAATTCAGCGCTGTTATGTCGTCAGCTGCTGCAGCTCTCAGATCAGGTGACCTTTTCCTGTACGTTGCTGAATTATCCAACTAGTTTCATTTCATACTTAAATTTTTTGGCAAAAATTCATTGCTGTTTTGTCATTAACTGCTGCATGTCTCAGATCAGTCAAGCCTTTCTTGTTCATTGCTGAATAATCCAACATTTCATTTCATATTATACATGAATTTTATGACAAAAATTAATTGCCGCTTTTTCACCAGGTGCTGCAGAATCAGAAGGAACTGGAGCAGCAAATCCTGGCAGACTTCAGATCATCGACAGCATCCCTAGCAACGCCGTCCTACCAGCTGGCAGAGGCTTGCCTCGTTGCCAATGTCCTTGACAAGAATGTCCGGTGAGCTGACTTGTCAGTGCGTGAATGGGTCACCGGTCCAAATAGCGACCCACTTTCTCACTCTCAGCATGAACAGCGGAGCTTGATGGACTGCACTTTTGATGAATTCAGTCCTTTTTTGATCAATTGATCCCTCCCTTGTATTGGGCTGAGTCCCTCTCTGCTGATGGACTGAGTCCCTCTCTGCTGATGCACTGAGTCCCTCTCTGCTGATGGACTGAGTCCCTCTCTGCTGATGGACTGAGTCCCTCTTCTGCTGATGGACTGAGTCCCTCTCTGCTGAATTTTTTGATGAATTGATCCCTATTTTCTGATGGAATGGGTCTCTTATTTTTTTAATGAATATATTTCCTGCCTCTTGATTGCCTGAGGTTTTAATGAAGTCCACCCTCCAGACGGAACATAATGGAGCTGTTAATGGAGCACTAGTCTAATGAACTCCACCCTCCAGACGGAGCATCATGGAGCTGGTGGTGTAGCACTAGTCTAATGAACTCCACCCTCCAGACGGAGCATCATGGAGCTGGTGGTGGAGCACCAGCTGGCTGAGTACCGGGCGGTGTTCGCGGGCTCAGAGCGTGACGGGTGGCTCACCTGTGTCGACCTCAGACGGAAGTGGTTCCTTAGAGCCGCCGTCGAGTTCGATAGAACACTCGCCCAGATGTTCCCTCCCGGCTGGAAGGTGAGCTGTTCCTCGCCCAGATGTTCCCTCCCGGCTGGAAGGTGAGCTGTTCCTCGCCCAGATGTTCCCTCCAGGCTGGAAGGTGAGCTGTTCCTCGCCCAGATGTTCCCTCGGTAGTATATATGTCAGTGTATTATGTGTGTCTCTTACGTTACTTACTTCACTTTTAGTTTATAAATAAAGGTTACATTGAAGACCAGTTAACAGATTCTCTGGTCTTCAATGAAACCTGCTTAAGAGAACAAATTCTGCAACCTATACTAAATAAAGGTTATTGTATACGTGTGTGTGTGCAGGTACCTGCTCGCCTGGCGTACAGCTTCTGTCGCCTGACACACGAGCAGCTGACGCAGGCGATGGCGCTGCGCACCGCAGACATCGACTCCACCGCCATCCTGCAGGCCCACAGGTCAGCAGGGAGTCCTACGTACAAACAGTTCAATATACAGAAACAGATGTATTTTGCCACAATTGTAAGGAATGTACAGAAAAAGCAGTATAATTCATTTCGTAATCTGTAACCTCATTTAATTGCCAGAATGGAATACTTCATACCAAGATTCATGTACAGGAACAGTAATTACACGCGATCATTAATGCAAAAATTTGCCTGATAGCTTCATGAGCTATTGTGGACTATAAGCAGGGATTCAAATACAGGAAGAGAGCCTCTTAGCTATGGTGGAATCCTATGTTTAAACTGAAGTTCATGTACAAAAATATTGGCATGCAAGTTCATCTGTACGTATTGCTCCTAAGTTCCACGAACTTCTTCAAGCTCTGCTCGAACAACACACAATATAGGTAGGTACTCAATTGAATGATAGTATGAGCGTGTCGATTAGAGATTACGTCTTGCTTGTATTACCTACTCCTTGATTATAGATTATGTCTTGCTTGTATTACTTCGTTTTCTGAAGAGGAGAAATGACTGTGTGACTATGCAGATAGTGAATATGAAAAAGCCAGACTTGTACGTATTTGTGCCAAATGAATGTTTGTGATGATCAAAGGTTTTTTGTTTGTTCTTGTTGTCAAGTTATTGGCCGAAGTGGAGAACCTGTGAAACTGTGTTGTTGTCGGGAATGAAAAGAAAGCACTATTTGTTATGTTATTTTGCTATGCCATGCAATTGTTCATGATTTTTATGTTATCTAATCCGTAGAGGTATGTTACTGTCAGGTTGTTGTCGGACATGGAGAGTCTGATCATACAGAAGTACGGCACCAGCTTCACTTATGAAGATTTACTCGACAACAGCAACGAAAAATTACCAAAGCCTTCTGATGTTTCGCCAAGAAGTCCTGTTAGCGCCACCTCTTCTGCTGGTCGCTTCACGCCTCGCTCCGAAGACGTGGTGCGTTACTAGTATTTACTAATTTAACTAGTTTGTTACTATTTTTCACTAATTTTACTTGCTTGTCACTATTTTTCACTAATTTTACTTGCTTGTTACTATTTTTCCCTAACTTACTCATTTGTTACCATTTTTTACTAATTTTATTTTATTGTTACTATTTTTTATTAATTGTCTGCTAATTTTACTCGTTTGTTACTATAGTTACAGGGTAACTGAAATAAATTGTTTACAGGATTTCATGAGTGCTATGAGTTTTGTTCCTGTATACTGTGTAGCCATCAGTAGTCACGAGTGGAATTCTTGAGGCTGAAATTACTGAATATGTGAACCAGTGCACATGGCGGACGTATTTGTATGCGTTCTGTTTGTTTTCGTTATTTATAATAAACATTTCGGTTTTACTGACTGATTAATAGCTATCAATTCAAATCAATGCTATTTGTACACATCATTCTAAGGCGTTTGGGTTTTTCTTACCAAGCAATTGTTGTTCACAACTTCACACATATTGTGTGTACAATATTGTTGTTGTTCAGACTTATTACCTTAGTGTTTCTGTTGTTTAAATAGTATTTTTCTGTTCAAATAAACCATTTGACCTACTCTCTCTGAATATATTAATGTTATTTGCAGAGCTCAGTTGCGGCCAGCAACAGCAATGCCGGGGAAGACAGCCAGCCTCCCCCTGCTGCTGCGCCGAGCCCTTACGACGGAGCTATAACAAGCTGCTTCCTGCCTTACCTTCATATTCACCTTAATACTTTAGACAAGTAATAACACTTTATTGTCTCATGAACGATCATCACAATACTTTTGACAAGTAATGTTCTTATTGTCTCATGAACGATCATCACAATACTTTAGACAAGTAATGTTCTTATTGGCTTATGAACGATCATCACAATACTTTAGACAAGTAATAACACTTTATTGTCTCATGAACGATCATCACAATACTTTAGACAAGTAATAACACTTTATTGTCTCATGAANTTATTGGCTTATGAACGATCATCACCTTAATACTTTAGACAAGTAATGTTCTTATTGGCTTATGAACGATCATCACCTTAATACTTTAGACAAGTAATGTTCTTATTGGTTCATGAACGATCATCACCTTAATACTTTAGACAAGTAATGTATTGGCTCACTCTATTGGCTCTTGAACGATCATATAATTACCGTAATGAACAAATAGCATTCTTGGGATGATATCGTCGTAGTAACAATCTTATTTGGTTATTATTACTCTAGTAATTGTTTAAATCATAAATTAACTGAGAATTTAATAAACAAAACATTTCAAGAAATTTCATCACATTTTCGATTCAATTATTTGCATTTAAAGCACGGTGAATTTTTCATCGCTAGCTATTTCATTTCGCTAGATTCAGCCATGATGTAGTATTCATACTTACGGTATTCATACTAAGTGATCATTTACACATATTAATCACAGTCATTTGCATGATTATTCACTAAGCTTGACAGATGCACCCAATAATTCTATACCTATTGCTCATGTTAATTTGCTTTCACATTTTGTCTCTTTGTTTGATAATTATCTTATTTTGTCTCTTATCCGTAATATTTGATTTATTCACCTACATGAGATAACTGTTCAAGTAAAAAACAATACGTCTAGAAGAAATTAGCTAGCAACAAATAGCTTAAGATAACATATGTTACAGACGCCTGGGCGAACAAATCGAGCGCTTCATGAGTGCGGTGAAGAGCTACAGCTTCGACCGCGTGGAAGAAGAGGAGAGCAATGTGATGCCGTGCTGTGGTGAGCTCTTCACGCTGTATAAGGTGAGGGACGGTGTGATGCCGTGCTGTGGTGAGCTCTTCACGCTGTATAAGGTGAGGAGGGGCGGTGTGATGCCGTGCTGTGGTGAACTCTTCACGCTGTATAAGGTGAGGAGAGGCGGTGTGATGCCGTGCTGTGGTGAACTCTTCACGCTGTATAAGATGGCGTAAATTTTTTTATATCTTGCTATTTTAAACGCAAAGCGAGACCCCATATCTCATCGAAAATGCTCTTTGCTTCATTGAAAAGCTTATCTTTGGAATTATTTAATGAAGTGCAATGTTACCAACTAACGATAGAATAGAATAGAAGTGTCGGCATTGAAGAAATAGGCCCATGGCCTGTTGCCGATTCTTGTACTTTTCGTGACTTGATTCACAAGGGATCCGGCCTTTGGAACCCGATCTTTCCATAACTGACGATTGATTGAGATAGCTGCTGTACTTATTGCCTGCTCCGTAATTTGCTAGACATTTTAAGACTGAACATATGCTCCTGCATAGCTTCGTCATAAGTGCTTACTTCATTTCCCTTGTTCTGAACTGCCATTGTCTCGTAGAACATGCTGATAGAAAACCTTTACTTTTGGTACTTTTTGATTCTAGGTTAACATATGTTTTATTTAAACTATTTTAATATTATCAAGTACCTAATAGCTATTTCGTGCTCTGAAATAATTTTATCTTGCAGAACATGCTGGTAAAAAACCTTTACTTTTGGATTCTAGGTTAACTTGCGTTTTAAGTCAACTATTTTAATATGATCACGTACTCAATCATGAACGATCATCGTTTCGTGTTCAGATATAATTTTGTCTTGCAGAACATGCTGGTGGAATACCTCCGCGTGTCCCAGCAGGGCTATGGCCTGCCGAATCTCATAGCGATTTTCCAGCGACGCCTGCGGGAGTTTGCCACGAGGGTCCTGAGGGAAGCTTTGCCTCAGGCATCACAGCAGGGCTTTGGCACTCTCCCTAAGGACATGAAAGACATTAGTGCCATCATTTCTCAGGTACGTGGCACTCTCCGTGAAGACGGGAAAGATATCAGTGCCATCATTTCTCAGGTACGTGGCACTCTCCGTGAAGACGGGAAAGACATCAGTGCTATCATTTCTGAGGTACGTGGCACTCTTTGTAAAGACGGAAAAGATATCAGTGCCATCATTTCTCAGGTACGTGGCACTCTTCGTAAAGACGGGAAAGACATCAGTGCCATCATTTCTGAGGTACGTGGCACTCTTCGTAAAGACGGGAAAGATATCAGTGCCATCATTTCTCAGGTACGTGGCACTCTTCGTAAAGACGGAAAGATATCAGTGCCATCATTTCTCTCATCAATACCCAGATGTCTCGTCAATATGGGACATTTTTACCATGATTTCTCAGGTATCTGGCACTATTCCTAAAGACATGATATAGCAGTTTGATCGTTTCTCGACTATGTTAGTCGGTCATTCAGAACATCAACCATTGCTCACCAGCAGCTAATGTCTCATTAACCATTAGTGAGCTTCAGGAGAAAATCGTGGTCAAGCATATCAAGGCTACGTATTTAAGATTTTGTAAACTACAAAAAACACTTCAAACGTTTTTTTTAAACAATGCGTTTGAGGTAGGTAGTACATGAATTTCTGCTGACATTTTTTTTTATATCTGATAACAGATGGAATTTTTCATATGCATTACTTAGTTATTCGGTCCAGTTTCTGTCTCTGTTGGTGCGCAAAGGCGGAACTTAGTGTATACATCATGACGTTTAGCATAACTTGGGTGAAATTTTATGCGTTAAACCTCATTGGCAAGTGTGGAATAATGCGTGTGTATCACGCCTTTTAACTTAATACGGGTGCATAATGCAAATATATCACGCCTTTTAACTTAATAAGGGTGCAATTTTGCATATACATTACATCACACACTTTAACTTAATACGAGTGCAATTTTGCATATACATCACACCTTTTACTAAACGGGTGCAATTATGCCAATTCATAACACAATTTGTTTGTTGCAGGTCCAGTCTCTACTGGTGCGAGAAGGTGGAGAGAGTCTGCGTCTGAGCTCGGAGGAAGAGGTGCGCAAAGTTTGTTCAGTGTTGGTGTCGGCCGAATACTGCGCCCACATGACCAACAAACTGCAGGCCAAACTGCTGGAGAAGTGGCAGTTGGCCCCTAAATCCATACCAGGTGTGTAGAGTCATGTTTAAAATGGCCAACAAACTGCAGGCCAAACTGTTGAAGTGGCAGTTGGCTCCAAAATCCATACCAGGTGTGTAGAGTCATGTTTAAAACGGCCAACAAACTGCAGGCCAAACTGTTGGAGAAGTGGCAGTTGGCCCCAAAATCCACACCAGGTGTGTAGAGTCTTGTTTATAATGGCCAACAAACTGCAGGCCAAACTGTTGAAGTGGCAGTTGGCTCCAAAATCCATACCAGGTGTGTAGAGTCTTGTTTATAATGGCCAACAAACTGCAGGCCAAACTGTTGGAAAAATGGTATATGGCCCGAAGTCCATACCAGGGGCTTTAAGTCACTTGGCTGTCACTTGGCCTCATGATAAACTTCAGCATTATATGAATTTTGGCCTTTTTAGCGCATTTTCTCATTTATGGAAAAAATGCACTGTTGTGCTCGCCAGGTCCGTCCGTCCGTCTGTCCGTGACCTCAAATTTTCGTCGACGAGAAAATGCGCTCTCTGTCACTCACTGCAGTGAGTACTGAGTTATATTTTTTTGTGTATGATTTATGCAATATCTGTAATCTCGGTCTTATTCGCAGATCCAGATGCACCTCGGAAAGTTCTCGCTGCCTCCGCATCAAGTGCCATCAGTTCAGCTCCTTCAAACATTTCTTTGGCTGCAGAAGAGGAACTTTTTCATGCGGTGCTATCTCAGGTAACAATACCCTGGCCTCAACTCAATGTATTTCGATAACAAGTTTAATTCTAGAAGCACAAAGAATTATTGAAATGTCACTGTCTTCTTAGCAAATGGTCAGCAAGGCGATATAATTCATTTGAGGGGAAATTTTGATTAAAGTCACGGCTTTTCGCGAGGCAGTTATATACATATTACAGAGCTCTTTTGTGTCCTTGTCCTCATAGATCGCATCTTATGTAGCCTTTTGTCTGCCACTTATCGCTTATTAAGACTACATACCTGGTAACTGGTAACAGTTTCAATTCGAATGGTAATTCCCATTATAACCTGGGCATTTCAGTGTAACATTTGCATTTCAGTGTAACTTTGGTGTTTCAGTTTAACATCGGCATTTCAGTGTCACATTTGCATTTCAGTGTAACTTTGGCATCTCAGTGTTACATTTGCATTTCGGTGTCACATTGGCATTTCGGTGTCACATTGGCATCTGAGTGTCACATTGGCATCTCAGTGTCACATTGTTGTTTCAGTTTATCACCGGGATTTCATATTATCATTGTTGTTGCAGTGCATCCTGCTGCTGGTGGGCCACGTAGAGTCGCTCTGCGATGGATATCTGGCGAGCATCCCGAAGCTGAACTGGCTGCTGGAGCAGACAGGCGACCAGAGCTCGTACGTGTCTCAGCTCTCAGCTCACCTCAGCACCACCGTGCCTCTAGTGCGCTACCATCTCCACACCTCACGTAAACACTTCACCAGGTGTGTACCGTGTCTGTAAACACTTCACCAGGTGTGTACCGTGGCTGTAAACACTTCACCAGGTGTGTACCGTGTCTGTATACACTTCAGCAGGTGTGTACCGTGGCTGTGAACACTTCACCAGGTGTGTGCATTATATTTTTTATATAATAAATAAGTAGATAAAGTGTTTCTCAAATCCAGATACAATGATGATCAATGCAGTAATGCTACAATTTAATGCCGTGATGCTGCCTCTGATTACTATACTTACGTATATAAAATTTTATTATTGAAGACATGATCACGAATTTATTAATGAAACAAGAACCAGATTTTTTCAGTGTTGATAATCACCTCAAATCTTAACTACGGATATTTATTCAAAATGAGATCAAATCTTGTTGAAATATATTGGAATTACTAGTTCCAGCAACTGCCTGTATTTTTGTCGCTCCTGTGGTTATTCATCTTTTCGTGCGTTTCAATGTATGTTTTTTTTAATGAATATTATGTTTTTATTATTAAAATATATTGTATTTTATAATTTAAATATATTGTGTTTTATTTCTTTTAGATTTTGTGACAAGCTGGCTGCAGGGATATGCATAAAGTTCACTCAACAGGTCAGTTTTCCGCCTTACTAGTTACTATACTACTTTTTTCGCACCTTTTAATTGCAATTAGAATTAATTTCTTCTGCATTAAGATGAAAAGGTCTTTCATTTCAAGTGAATAATTGCTGAAGTTGAGTAATGTGATGAAATTTAGAATCAATTCCTACTTTCACTATTGGCATGTCGAATTTTGCCATAATCATATTTATATTTTCCTGAATTTATTTTCTGTTGAAAATTAGATAGGTGATAACATTCATATTTTCGTGAATTTATTCGTCACTGATGCTTCAATGGCGCAAGATTATTATCAACTCATAGTTAAAGCGCAAAGTTAAAAGTAGCGTATAAATACTTACTAGTGCAATTTATACTCCCAGTAATTAAGAAAGCGGAGATTTAAAAATAACTGCATGATTAAAAGTAATTTTTGAAGCAAAGAGCAAAGTTTAACTTCCGAAATGCATCTTGAGTTGGAATCCTTTAGTACTCTATTTGCTTTTTTATTAATAGAGGATTCCCTCTAATAATATTTGCTGTACAATATTAAATGTTCATAATTAATCTATAATATTGGCTGGTGCAGGTGTATCGCTGTCGGCCCATCAACAGCATCGGGTGCGAGCAGCTGCTGCTGGACTGTCACGCTCTCAAGGCGGTGCTGCTGCACATGCCTGTCATGGCCTCCAAGGTGTGTCATGGCCTCAAAGGTGTGTCATGGCCTCAAAGGTGTGTCATGGCCTCAAAGGTGTGTCATGGCCTCAAAGGTGTGTCGTGTTAACACTTGTGTCTATTCTATACATTAGACACGTTTATCTTAAGACTGGACACGTTTATNCGTTTATATTGAGACTGTCACGCTCTCAAGGCGGTGCTGCTGCACATGCCTGTCATGGCCTCAAAGGTGTGTATGTAATATTGAGACTTAGTGTTCTATGTATTGCACACGTTTATATTAGGTATTATAAATATAATATATTATAAACTCCGTATAAAATTAGGCGTATTATAAATATATTATATTATGAACGCCGTATGTAGTAAGGCGTATTATAAATATATTTTGTTATAAAAGCCGTGTATAATAAGGCATATTATAAATATATTATATTATAAACGTCGTATATGATAAGGCGTTCACAATGCTATTTATGTGGTAACAACAGGTATTGTTACCCTAATTACAGGGTAAAAAGAGTTAATATCTCAAGGCCGTAGGATTACTGTTAATGCAGTGTTTGATATCTCTAAGTTTCATAAGAGATTGATGTTTTTGGCTTTTTGCAATCTCGTGTGCTAAAATGCCGACCGAATAGCAGTTGATTTTGCCAGTTTATGACGTCACAGGAATGCATGTACTAGAGTTTAATCAAAGTAAAATCAATGCTGGAGAATATAATTGTCTCGATTATTGTTATTGTTATGGTAGCTCAGTGGTAGCGGCATCGAGATGAGAAGAGCTAGCCGTGGGTTCGAGCCTCGGGAAGCTTATTTTATTTCTCAGTGTCGCTGGTGGGCGGCGCTTGGTAGCCGTCAAAAGTGGTGCTTGCAGCATGACTTAGTGTTAGTGTCCTTAAACGACCTCTGGGATCCTTTGGGGGGCCTTTGGGGAGAGGTGCCTTTGTATCAAACAATTAATCCGTAGAAAGGAACTCTGGGAACTCATTCATCTGTCCCTAAACGAACTCTGGGATCCTTTGGGGGGCCTTTGGGGAGAGGTGCCTTTGTATCAAACAATAAATCCGTAGAAAAGAACTCTGGAAACTCTTTCATCTGTCAATAAAGGAACTCTGAGTGCTTGTTGCTTGTCAGATCCGCAGGTCTTGTTTGGCTGGGGAGTTTCCTAAACGTGTGTTTGTCGCGCAGGTGATCCGAGATCCTCCCGTATCCTACACGAGGATGGTTACCAAGAGCCTCGCGCGCCCTGAACTCGTTCTTCAGGTTAGTTTTTTGAGTGTAATCTTCAGTCTATGGATACGTTACTCGTCGTTTTTAAAGCGCTATCATTTATTAATTGAAGTACGAGAATGCTGTAATTTTTTAAATTATTTACCTCTTGACTTCCTGACTTAATATTGATAACCAACTTGCGCAATGCATGCCTAGATTCAGACAGTTTTTCACACAACTTTTTTTACTGATGGAGACATTGCATTGTTTTTCTGCCCAAATTGCTATAATATTTATTTATTTATATATATATATAATATTTATTTGTTATTACCTCTGGGTTTTTTATACTTGTTATTTTTAAAGTATGCTTCTTTCTAGGCTCATATAATATTTTGTAGTTGTACTTATCTAATTAGGTTTCTATCTAGATAATTATTATTATTATTACATTGGATATATATTTTTAAGTGAATTTCTGCCCAGGTTGTGATGGGAGAGTACAGCTCGCCGATGCAGCTGGTGGAAAAGAGCATCCGCCTCATGCCTGATCTCTCACTCGCCGACTTCCAAAAGGTGATTTACATGGAAAATTTTCAAGTAAATATAAGGATTGTCATTAGAACACACCGCATTTTTGGGGCACACAATGATTCGTTTTCTTCTATCATCCCATACAGTATATTTTTCAAGAATTTGTACAGTTATATTTATTCAATACTAATTTAAATGTAAGCTCAGTCGAGATAACACAGGCGTTTACGTGCAGGTTGGTAATCCTTAGATTATGAATACTTTTTCACAATCTCATTCACAATCACTTTTTCACAGTCCCATTCTGCAGCTTTGGGAGAGAAAGTCCGAGGAGAATACATGATAAGTATAAGTCAATATTATCTATTGAAGAGGTTCTATCATTATATTGGAATAGGTTTGCATTTGTTTTGGTAAAGACTTGTAGGACATCAAAGATAGCGGGATATATTATTAAGTAAATACCTTTATTAAGTAAATACCTGCAGGTGCTGGAGCTGAGAGGCATCAAAGATAGCGGAATATCAGGTTTATTAAGTAAATACCTACAGGTGCTGGAGCTGAGAGGCATCAAAGATAGCGGAATATCAGGTTTATTAAGTAAATACCTGCAGGTGCTGGAGCTGAGAGGCATCAAAGATAAAGCACCGCTGCTAGAGAGCTACAGACAACGCACCTCGGTTGAGTCCGACGCTTCTGCAACAACCATCAATTCAACCACCACAACAACCAACACAACCAACACCGCTACCGTCGCTTCTCCTGAACACGAACTTAGCAGGATAGCCAAGCTTGAAAAAATGCTTAAAGCTCGAAGGCTCATTTAAATAATCATCATTTGTGTTTGTTGAACGAAAATTTGGTTGAAAACATATTTCTTTGTGTTGAACAAATATTTGTTTACGGATGTTATTTTTTAAATAATATTTTTGGTTGTACGGATATCTTTTTGAGTTCGATAAATTATCTGGTAGAAATAATATTTGAATTTGAAGATAATTTGAAATTTTAGTGTAAGGTTATTTATTATTTTTTTTTTTTTGTCGCACAAATGATAGGTGGTACGGAAACTTGGTTGTGCAAATACTTTACTTTTTTTGTAAATTTGGTTGTATTGATACTTGGTTCTATGGATATTTTGTTGTTCAATATTTGGTTGCATGGATGAAAGTTTGCATTGATTTCTGTTGTAATGTTATTTAGTTGCGCATATGTTTCGTTATGCTTTATTTGGTTTTGAATTCATCTTGAATTCGTTGCCAGAGAGGTACGGTCGAGCGGGCATTCCAGTTATACTTATACAAGTTCAAGTCAAACATAACTTCTCAAGAGTTAATATAACATTTAATACGTTTTATTAAATCCTTTTTTATACCGGATAGATGATTTTTTTTTGGCGAGCAGCAGGTTCAATGCTGCTGGTGAACGTCCAATGTGATTGCCTGCTAACAACATGAAATATAGAAATATAGAAAAGAATTGTGTTTGTAAAGCTCGTAATCTAATGAAATTTATACTATTGTGAAAAATAATTATCCGTTCAAAAATTGCTTATCAACAAGCGCCTACTAACGTGTGCTCTTCTCAAGCTTGATGCAATAATGTCTTGAACTCTAGAAAAAAAATTTTTCTTCATTTAGCCTAGTTGTAAATTCGCAATTTGTAATCGCCCAAATTTTCTATTGATTAAAGTGTACAAAACTACAGAAGTTTCGTAAATTTTGCAATTGAATTTTTTGCTTATGGAAAACCTTCAAGTATAACTTTCAAATATGAAACGGGACGCCATCCCCCCACCCCCCTATATTTTTTATCGTAGACCCCTCTATAACGCATACACTAAGAGCACTGAATGAGATTTTGTCCGAATAATGATGCATTGTCTAACTTCTGTGGGTCAGCTAGAATTTGTGTGGCACGGCAAAAAGGCGTACCAGTGCTACATGCAGAAAGTGTGTCACTATTTAGACAATATGAGCCATCCATTTTGGAGTCGATGTAGCAGAAATGATATGTATAAATAATTATTATCTAATTATTGATAATGTACGATTAATTTAGTTATGTAGCAGAAGGATAATTTGTATGAAAATAAATAATGTAAAATACATCGTGGTGAAGTACATTTCTGGAAAAATCAGTCATTTATTCGTTGATTAAAATGCTACTTTAAAATCTCATTCAGCAACTACATTTTCGTTAGTGAATTAATAAACATATTAAAGCAATGTTATCGCACAAGATATTGATTCATACTTTATTATGAATACTTCGCTCCACAGAATCATTTTAACTATATCCTTTTTAACACGTTTTTCTTTACCCAGCTTCGCGTTTGTTTGTTTGTGGATTTGTTTGTTGTTAACACTGACAGCGAAAATTAGCCCACTTCTGATTGCTCTAGAGATCTGAATTTCGATATGCAGGCTATTTTCGCCTAACAATTTCAGATACAATCATAAAAACTAGCAATTAGAGACCAAAATTAGTAGCTTAATTGAGTAAAGTATATATATATATATAGTATATATATAGTATGACATGTGGGCGCTGACGTTATAGACGAGCAGGCGCGGACGCAGCGTATCATCGATACGTACCTCAAGTCATACTTAATCAAGTCATTAGATAAAGTAGAATATAAACTATATAATTAGGGTTTTCCATGTGTAGCAACGGACTAAAAAGGAGAAAATAAAATACTTGAAAAAAAAACTTTTTAAAAAACCACGTTTTTCTTGTGGACTAATAAGTAGAAAATAAATTATGGCCCGCCCCAAAAAACGTGGGTCGGGCTGTACGTTCACCATCAAATTTCCAAAATTCGTGTGTTGTGTGCTTTTCGCTTTAATCATAAATCTGCCCGACACACTTTTTTGGGGGCGAGCCATAATTTATTTTCTACTTTTTAGTCCACAAGAAAAACGTGATTTTTTAAAAAGTTTTTACAAGTATTTTATTTACAATATCCTTAATTATATCCTTTTTTAACTATATCCTTTAACTATATCCTGTCTACTGACAGTAACTCCCGTTACCAGGCATTTAGGTACAAATAACATGGGGACTGGTAATGTGTCCGTAAACAAAGTATAAATATCGAATAACTTAAGAAGCCTCAGTTATAGACAGAGCTGGGCAGCGCTACTTTGAAATGTAGCGGTGCTACCGCTACCGCTACATGCTCTAAATGTAGCGGGCGCTACCGCTACACCCAGTAGATTGTAGCGAGCGCTACCGCTACAGTAAAATGTAGCGCGCTACATTAGCCGCTACAATGGCAAAAATTATTGGAAATCTCTAAATATTTATTGTTCTGCTATTGGGATTTACTCAGAAACATTTAATGATAATAAAACATTTTCAAAATATATCAATGCAACTTTATTGCAATTAACCTAACCGAACTAGTACGGGTTAGATTCAGTAAATAAAAGTTACAGTTAGTTTTATGTTTTACCTTCCCTACATGGATGTCTACTTTAATCTCCCAATCTCAGAAATTATCCACATATACATATAAAAAATCGGTCTTTTATTTGAATATATATGCGGATTATTTTTGAGATTGGTAGATTAAAGTAGACATCTATGTAGGGAAGGCGTAAGATAAAAATAACTGTGTAAAATAACTAAGCAAACTGAAACATGAAAAAATACCTGTAAGTGGTAACTGGTAACAACAAGTAACAACTAACATGTTGACACTATATATAGTAAGAGGCTGAGGTTGACAACATTACACCGAAATCTTTCGTACATTTTATTCTGTAATTTATGTTATGTATGTATCATGCTGGTTTTTAAATAATATTTAATACTATTAAGTAAAATCTAAAGGCTTTATCTATAAATGTAGCGGTAGCGCTGTAGCGGCAAAACCACGTATTGCTACTTAAATATGTAGCGGGCGCTACCGCTACCGCTACAATTGCTTAAATGTAGCGTCGCTACCGCTACTGAAAATGTAGCGGCCGCTACATGTAGCGCGCTACTGCCCACCTCTGGTTGTAGATAAATATCGCGATAAGTTCTAGCAGTGTCAAGTTATGGTACAAATTGTCGATGAATATTAAGGTGCAAGTGGGAGATAATTTTGCTGCAACTGATCGCTGAAGATCTGATTTTGGTGCTGAGCAGCAGGGCTTTTGACTGAAAAAAAGATGAAAAGAAAAAGATTTATTAGGTAAGCGTGGAAATAACTTGCTACCGCTCGCCGTGTTACAATAAAAAATATTCGATGAAATGCCGCGATAATAGATCCCAGCTTAATAGAAAACGAAATTAATGTATAAATTCTTGCTACTCAATTGAGTGAATATTATTGAGAATGAGCCTATCTAGACTGAAATATCATAATTAATGCATAATAATGGCTCCATGACGGCAGTTCGGGTGGTTAACAAACTATATCAGGTACCACTGTTGGTACGCGCACCACTGTTGGTTGTGTTCCACTGTTGGTACGCGCACCAATATTGGTACGCGAGGGAAATCCAAGACTCACACAAATAATTTCGGTGCCACGTTATTTTTTACGTCACAAAAATATTGACAGCCTAGCAAAAGATGATGTAGAAACCATGGAAACGAGATATCGAGATGAAATCATTTAGCGCTCATGAAAATTAGAAATACTAGTCAAAACAAGCATTGGTAATGCCTTCTTCCAGTTCTCTTTCAGAAATACTAGGCCCAAAAGTAATAGTAATGCCTTCTTTGAGTTCTCTGTCAGAAATAGTGGTAACAAAAGCACTAGTGATGCCTTCTTCTAGTTCTCTATCAGAAATACTAGACCTAAAAGCCTAATTTGTCATTCGCTGTCAGGATCACTAGACATAACAGCACTAAAAAATCCTTCTTTGTAGTTTACGTTCTGACATTCTAGACACAATCACCTCGGCCAAGATGTCGTGAACCGAGACTCGAGTCACGTGTGTGGCGTTTTCGACGTCACGGTAATTTAATATCTTCTCTCAACAACCACAAGTCCCCTCATAAGAAGGATATAAAACGACCGGTATTTTGCTGGAGGACTCAGTAACTGCGGATCCCAACACCCGGACAAACTGCAAAGAGAGGCTCTGCTTTGTACACGTACGTCGAAGGTAAGGTTGCGTGATAGAAAAATGAAATTGTACCGAACTCGTATCCAAGATATTTTATTTTTTCGATTAAACAAATGTGCAATTAATTTCAGTTTAATTAGACTTCTCAATAATATGTCCTGATTTATAGGCTCGAGAGCTGAAATTATTACAATTATTATTATAATATTGCAGTTTTTAAAAGGAATTACTGCATCGATCAACGGAAACGAAAAATTATCCGTTATCTATGAGGATTCATTTTTCAAAACGAAACAAATCTGTATATCTGGAGAAACATACATTCTGTTTCTAAAGGTTTCAATCATAGGAGATGTTTCTCGAAGAAGTTTTTTCCTTGACTTTCCCCTCTTTTTGATTAAACTTTTTTCATTTCAAATGTATTCTTCCCACTCCGATTAAACTCTTCTCATTTTAGCTGCATTATTTTCATTTCAATTATACTCCTCTCATTTGATTATACTAGTCTCAATTTGATAAGTAAATTTCTCTCATTTTCATGGTCCGATTTTCATTATAATTTTACTCCTCTCATTCTGACTGTATTTTTCTCATTTTCTTGGTCCCAATCTAATTTTAATAGTACTCTCCTCATCTATTGCAGAAAATAATTTGCGATGCTGAATCGACTCAATTTATTGCTGGTGGTTGTGTCGGCTTCCCAGGCATGGGCTGGAACTGTTATCACCTCTGGCTCTATGCAGAACAATTGCTATGTCCCTCAACTCGATGAAGACTTGTGCTCTACGCTGTACTCTGTATGTCGGACGTCACCCCAGAAGCTGTGCCTAGCGCAGAGTGCCATGCAATGTCTGCCAGACTTGGGCATGCCTGTTTCCGTTGCAAAAAGCATAGAGCGATATCTTATCGAAATAATTACTGTAATCACCCGCCCTCCGGCAGTGAGCACCACCGTACAACCTGTAACCATCCCGCCTAGTACTAGTACTACTTTGTCACCTAAAATCAATTGGAAATACCCCATTAACCCAGACCCTGTCCCTGGAATTATTCATTTCCCTGGAGGAATTACTGTTCAAACTGGGAATATTTACTTGGATGGTCTCATTTCGGTTCTGTCGTTGATTAACGAAGTACAGATTCAGCAAATTTTAGAACTGATGATGGCTCAAATGCAAGTCGTGGCGTCTCCTGCAGACTTTGAAGCTCAATTGCCTTACCTTCAAACTTTGACTGAAAGCCTCGATACTCTTATTCAAATATTCTCTATCAGCGAAGTCAACACTGCAACCATTGAATATTATGTCAGGAATCTACTGTACACGAACCCTGAACTTTTCCAGTGGCTTGTTACAGTCGTCGAACAGATCTTTGAAAACTTAGCCATCACGAAGGTCGTTTATCCAGAACAAATAACAACAATAGATGCATACTACATAGTTTTTGAGACAACTTATAGCGAGCGGCAAGACTTGTACTTCTGTCACGGTGAACCGAACCCTGTTTTGTGTGAACGTTACTGTACCGATACCTATGGAGGGAACTGGATCACAATCCAAGCAAGAGAAAGGCAGAATCCAGACGCTGGATTGTTCGACACAACCTTGGATAACTACAGAAAAGGATTCGGGGACCTGCAGAAAGGTTACTTCATGGGTCTGGACTGTTTGAATTCAATAACTACTTCGGGACGGCATGAACTTCTCGTCGAACTAACAGATGCTTCAGGGGCTACAGCTTTGGCTCACTACGAGTCCATCGTCGTCGGAGGTCCTGAGAGCAACTATGAACTCCACCTCGGAAAGTGAGTTATTGCAATAAAAGTCAGTGAGTACAACATATTGTTTTACATATTAATGAAATAACTTTTCAGAACAGAAACAACTTTTGATAATTTTAATGAAATGTTTGAACAGTTTTCTTACGATTTAGATTACACCTTATACCCCTGTTCACGACTCCCTAACTATTATGAATCGCATTGAACTGTTATGAATTGCATTGAACTGGTATGAATTGAATTGAACTGTCATGAACTGCATTGAACTGTTATGAATTGCATTGAACTGTTATGAATTGCATCCTTGATAATTAATCATGAAATAATTACTTGGTTTCAGATACCTCGGAGGTGCGGCGGGCGACGCGCTGCGGGCGTCCGATGGCCGGGGGTTCACGACGCTGGACCGCGACGTGGACGCCTTCCTGGGCAACTGCGCCGTCAAGTGAGTAGTCTAGCGCCGTACTATCAAAGAACTAAATGGGTAATGTTGTCCAAATAGTGAGGGACAATTTCTGCACGAAGCACAGATATGCCCCTATGCCGGGTCAAACTAGGTCAGGCTGACCCGCACAAGGGCAAATGGATGTACTGAGTCTCACTCATTTTCATTTATTTGAGTAGGTATCATAAATAGTTAAGAAATCGTAACTCCATCAGCCAATCAGTGACGGCTTTTCAATCTAATTCCACCAATCACTGGCGAGAAATCGGCCTTCACGTGTACTTGGGCCGGTAAGCGTACTGAAGCCGATACTTGTTCCGAGTTTTGATAATACGGCCCCTGAGGTTCATTTTACGTATAAAAAACGTTGATCTTAATGAAATCAATTCTAAATCAACGTTGTTTCAGCATTATTTGCCTGGAGGGTTGGTGTTCGATACCCAATTATACTTTGCAAAAATTAAAAATAATATTTTTCAGAAAAAAATTGGAATTTATGATCAATTTGTACTGAGCGGAAAAAATAACAAATGCGTCTCAGTTTCTTTTATTAAAAAGGCATTCAACTTATCTTTTCAGGCACAAAGGTGGTTGGTGGTACGACAACTGCGTCAAATCAAGCGTGAAAAACTTTTTGAACGGATACTTTTCGTCCAATGCTGAAGGCGACGACCGAATCGAAAAATTCCCTTTCTTTGGAGTGCGTTGGTCAACCCTGCAGACGCCATATGTGCTGGTGGCAACACGCATGTTCATACGTCAGGCAGAGAATCAACAGTTCATCTTCGGTGCCGTCAAAGGAACTCAAGACGCAGAAAGAGTCTTTGTCGATGTCGCCAACACATTGTCAACGTTCGTGAAAACTGTGTAAATCCTGAACATTTGATGACAAGCTTGTTTACAATTCGTGGCAACTGAAAATAGTGATGAATGCCTTCATATATTTTGGAATGATTCCGCAAGAACGTTGTAGGGAGCAACGGTGTAAAATCTTTTCTGTTGTAAAACCAACAGTAGACTAAAGTTTGGTTGAATTATGGTTGCATCATGTAAGATTTGAAAGTTTTACATGTTATGCTGCTAAAATTAACTTCCCAAATCTATTGTTATGCACTTCTTTTCTTCTATTTCTGTCATGTTAGACCACAAATTGTTTGCTGCTACTTTTGAGGAATACATGAAAGCTATCACAATCCATTTATAATTACCCCAATTACCTTTTTACGATGATATGACTACGATGCAAAGCTTCCGGCGTTTCAATTTGTATCCTTATGTGAATACACTTTTTGCCAGAAAACATGATGACATTCGTAAAATTTGAACAGCATTTTTGCTGTTCTAAGTGTATAAACTTCTTGGTTTGGGAGAATCCTAAAGTTTAAAAATTTATTTATCCTAATTTAATTTCATGAACGGCTGAATTGACACTAGCGAAATTTTAACAGCATTTTTGCCATTTTAAATTGAACAAATTTCTAAGTTTTGGGGAATTCGCAAGTTGAACGTAAGAAGTTATTTATTTGAACCGCATTGGAACAAACATCTGTCGTTGAATCATTGAAGTTCTCACCGAAAATTCTATTTTGAACGACTGAACTGACTCTTATTTAAATTGAAGAACCTAATTTTGGAACGGCCCCACTGACATGATAAATTCATCGAGGATATTAAATGAAACTATTTAGTACTTATCGAATTCGATCTTCACATTTACAGACTGCAAGGGAAAAAACTGGGTTTAATAAAAATTATTAACAGGATTATCCAGATTTTGAAAGGATATTTTAACATGAAAAATTTTAATGCACATCCACAGCGCTATCTAACAAGCGTCCGCTTACGCAAATGAGGTGCCTGGGTCTTCGTAAAGTCTGCAAGAGGTAATCAAGAATCTCCTTTGTTTAGATAAAAAAACGTGAACTTCATTAGACCCGTGAAACGATGTTTAATTAAGGTAACTATGATAAATGTAAACAAATGCACAACAATACGTCACACAACTAAGTAGCAGCGTAGCTGATGAGCTATTCACAGCAAGAGCAGATTAATCAACGATAGGGCAGGTACCGCGGCTCCCAAATATGCTTCGTTCCTAAACAAAAGGGATCGCGCGAAAATTTAACGTCGCACCTGCACTGGACGTGAAAACTAAATTATTACGTGAGTTGAGTAGATTTGGATGTTATCGCGGCGATGTACAAGATGGATGATGAGATGGTCGAGTGGTTAAGAAACATCATGATTGGACCAGTGACTTGTACAGTAGGTTCGAGACCTATTTGACATTGAAAATTCTGGGATGTTAAGAATCGGTAAGAGAGCAGACACGGCCTATTCTCCCACGTTGACAGCACTATATTATTATCACTATCAGGCTAACACTATTATAGATATATTATATTCCTAAATAACTGAAAACACCTTTAATTGTCAGGTACTGCTCAGGAATATGTTTACCTTCTCAGCTCCGATTTCCCGAACATTTAATTAAATCGAATTTTTGTGTGTAAAATCCTATAAGCAAAAATTCGCAACAATTAGATGCCTTTTGGATAAAAATTCTCACAGCTTCACTTACCACTGCCTCTGTACTGGATCACTTTTTTTGCGCGCACAATAAATATTTGTACGTTTTCTTTTTTTTCGTTAGTTGTTGCTCTATTTGCCGTTGCAGCTTCGGGTGACGTCCGTGACCGCACTCAGCTCGAACCTCGTTCACCGGAGGTTCATTTTGTGTGCAATTGTGCATGCCGTGGTTTGCGAGTTGCCAGCTGCCTTCCAGTCGAGACTCTGGAGCTGTACGGTCAGCAGTTGACTGAACGGCTGCTGTAACGTCGCTATAGCGGTAGAGCTTCTGCTGCTCACTGAGTGTACGACGGTTACCAAGCGCAAGGAGCTTTGACGTTAAGGTTAGCAGATTGAAATTTGGTAATAAGATTGATGAAGTTGTTCAAAATTTTCTTTCAAACTATAAATCCTGTATCTTAAGATTCATTATAAATCCATAACAAAAATGAGTTATTTAATACTCTTTTGGGTACTTTGTAGTGTTTTTATTATTGATTGCGAGACATTTAACTTAAATATTTCCCTTAGCCTAATTGGTATGTTGGTTTTCATTTACAAAATCTTCCCAAATTGCGACGGTTTAATCTGACAGCTTAACCAGCAATTATTACGCACAACATCCCGCGCAACGTAGGGTTAGCGACATTCTTTAATACTAATGTGTAATTTTTTTTACCTACTACTATCCATTGATTTCCCTGTATACTAATACGCTAATTGATCAGAAAAAATGTGGCGGAATTGTCTAATAAAATGAGCTGAGCGTCATGTCATTTCCGAGAAATTCCAGCTTAGTATAAGGATTTCTTGTTCGGCAGGTGTTGACTTTTATAAAGAATGGTGAAAGATGTTCATAGCAATCACGTTTAATGGTATTTGATGTTCGAATTAGTAGGGTTGGTAGTTACATACTCGCTTAAGAGACTGGGAATCAACGATTCATTTTATTGTTCTTAATTGAAGTCATCGGTTCCAACGACTGTTAGCCTGCAATGCGGAAACGATCTATTCGATATATTTAACCGTTGGAGAAATAATTTTAGTTTTGGGAAGTAGCACATGCACAAATTTTGTGCGCAATAACACGTACACCAATCTTGTGTTCAGTAACACGTACACCAATCTTGTGTTCAGTACCAATCTTGTGTTCAGTAACACATGCACCAATCTTGTGTTCAGTAACACGTACACCAATCTTGTGTTCAGTACCAATCTTGTGTTCAGTAACACATCCACCAATCTTGTGTTCAGTAACACATACGCCAATCCTTAAGGCAATAGCACGTGCATCAATCTTGTAGGCAATAGAATACTAATGACCATAACGAATTAAATTACGTTTTTAGCACCAAGACAAAATTATTCACGATTATTAATTGTCCCGGACAAAATTAGTCACGATCGTTAAGATTTTTGTCAATGAATTAACAACATTAACATTTACCCGCTATTCTTGAATGTATTATGTCTTCGGATTCATCGTCGCTTTTGTTATTTTCACAAACGTGAAAAATTGCTACAAAAAGTCAGCTATTTTTTTTTAATTTATGCTTTTAAGTGCAATGTCCAATATTTTCCAACATTTCACGCAATTTTGATATAAATACGCTAACGAGCGAACTTAATGCAAGAAATGTCCATAATTTATGGTCATTTGAAGGAATTAGTGTAATTGTCGTCATACGAAAAATTTATTTTGCGGCAATCTTGAATAAAAAAAAAACATCTTGCCAATTGAAATTGCTTTTAGGCTTTCAGCATTAATTCACACTGTGTTTGAGACAGGATGTCTTGAACTCGTTTCTTAGTGCTAGAACCAAATTTTGAGAAAAATATGGTAGCGATCCACCAATCATTTCTAACGATAACAATGTTAATGAAGTGTTTCTAGAGAGTTCATGGAAATTTACCCAATTCTATAGTCTGATTAGTCACAGTTGAACCACAGCTGAGACACAGACGAGACACAGCAGAGCCACAGACAAGACACAGACGAGACACAGACAAGACACGACAAGACCCAGACGAGCCACAGCTGAACCACAGACGAGACACGCCTGAGACACAGACAAGACACAGACGAGACACAGTCAAGACACAGGAGAGACATAGAAATAACACAAACGAGACACAGACGAGCCAAAGCACAGCCACAGGAGAGACACAGACATAACACAGACGAGACAGCTGAGCCATATTAGACACGCTTCAGGGATGCGTGTCAAGCCGTGAAATGTGACGGACACGCAATTTGAAAGGCCGTTGGCTTCGTGTCACGTTCGTTGACAGTTACAAATACTGTGACTTCAAGACATTCTTCTGCTTTGTAATATTTTTTAATTCCAATGCTTTTTTCTTTTGTTAATTGTGCTCAGTGACTGAAAAACACTGCACTGTGACTGTTACTAATATTGTTATTTTGTAACACTTTAACTTTGTGATAACAATAATTTCTCTTGCTTTGTAACGTTTTTAAAATGTAGTACATTTTTCTGTTGTTGTTGTACCTGCCGACTGGAAGAACATTGTACTAACTCAGACAATTACGAATACTGTGACTGCCAAAACATTCTTTTGCTTTGTAGCCATTTTAAATTGCAATATATTTACGTGTTTTTGTGCTCGGTGATTGCTAGAAACTTGTACTATCTTGAGATTGACGTGAACACTGCACTGCTTCGTGACTTAAAAGCTTGTAAATAATCCCGCCTGCTACTGTGAAAGCTCTATGTAAATACAGCGCTTTGAGACCACGTCCAACACTGGATTTATTGTGGAAAGCTGATTCTAAAAGTAGGGGGAATGTAATCCCAGTGTAGTATTAATCCAGTGTGTAAAAAAAAAACAAAGCAATTTATTTTGATCTTCAATATTGTAAGTACAAAATATTCTATCTTTTTATGAAATGTAAATTGATTTTATTTAAATTTAAAACGTTTGAAATTAGATAATTAATTTAGTAATAAAAAATGAAACTCATGGAAAATACGTCCAATCGCAACGCGCAGTATCTTGGATTAAACTTTTTTCGCGTCTTCAAAGGGGATAAATTCTTTAACATCTACGCATTATTATCAAGTTTTAATTGAAAGCCTACGTACTTAATTACGATGGTTTCCAATAAAATGTAGTCCCGGGCCAAATTTAATGCATTGAAAGATAGTTTTCAAGTATTCCTAGCATAAATTAAAGAATTCGCATTTTTCAAAGCGCGTTTTATGCTCCGAACAGAGCGATGCATAAACGAAATTGTCACAATGGCCAGTTCATGAACAACAATAATAAAATTTTAATAATATTTAAATACATGAAATTTTGTGAAGAATTATAAAATATCGGACATGTGATCCTGCCAAACGGCTTAGATTCCATAGCACATTTTTATTATTGTGCAGAGCAAGCACTTCCATTTCTTCATTTATTCTTACCTAAGATTTGTAATTGATTTATTTTGTTTGTAATTTTTTTCTAAGATTGTGACTCTTTTCTAAATATTGTTATTCCATTCCAAGGTGATTCTTACCTAAGATTTATAATTATAATTCTAAGATAAAGTTTGCAATTCCTACCTAAAGTTTGTGATTCATACCTAGAGTTTGTGGTTCATACCTAAAGTTTGTGATTTATACCTAAGTTTTGTGATTCCAACTTCAAGTTTGTGATTCATTCGTACCTCATTCAAGTTTTCATTCGTACCTCATTCGGCAGCGGAAATAGGTTAAAGTTCTAAATGCGATCGTTACCTGGGAAAGTGTGGTTTGCGAGGTGCAGTTCACAGTTGCAGGCCGCGCACCAAACAAACTTTACCGACCGAAGCAGTGTAAGGGAATTGCAATATTTGTGCACGGAAGAATGGGGTTAAGTGAGACCACGTCTAGCGGTAGATTGCAGCGCACGGCGTTTGACAGAAGCCTTTATGATGTGGTCTTCTAGGGGTCTTACTATTACAACTCGCTTAAATACACGTAACGGCCTATGTACACGTAGAGGCCTATGTACACGTAGAGGCCTATGTACACGTAGAGGCCTATGTACACGTAGAGGCCTATGTACACGTAGAGGCCTATGTACACGTAGAGGCCTATGTACACGTAGAGGCCTATGTACACGTAGAGGCCTATGTACACGTAGAGGCCTATGTACACGTAGAGGCCTATGTACACGTAGAGGCC